AGAGTCCTCTTAAACTCAAAGCCCTAGGCCTGTGCTGGGAGACTGGGGCTCTGGAGAGCATGCCACCCCCACAAACCCCATTCTCACTGGGAGATGTGTGCCCTTCTCCCACCAGGTGGGTAGAAGCTCTTGGAGGGCAGTCTCTACCCTCAGTCTCTGCTGGCAGGCAACCCTTAGGCCTCTGTCCCTGGCTAGCTCTGCCTGTCCAAGCCTTCATTAGCTGGCCAGTTCCCCTGACTACTGTATCTGGTTGCCCGTGTGTGTGCCAGGTGGGTGTCCTCAGGACAGGACAAGGAGAGGGACATGAGAAGTAGAGGCTGGGAGGAAGAGTCAGCAGGACTCAGATGCACTGGGCCTCGTGTAGAGGGAACCCCTTCTGGAGCCTGGCATCAGGGTACATGAGGCTCTAGGCAGCCCTTCACAGACAGCCCCTCAGCTCCCTCTTCGTAGGTTCCAGAAAAGACAAGAGGCTGGCCGTCCTCCAGTGGGGTCTCAGGAAGCATGTACCCCAGAGAAGTGGGCCATCACTTATCCTCCCCCTGCCCTGATACTTCCAGCACCCCTCGTGTTCGAACCTGGCTTGGACCCTGCTGTTTTGCAGAGCAAGACCTCTCAGGGTCCTCCCCGCCTCCCCCTGTAGAGCATCCAGATCCCTGAGGGCTGTGTTGTGGGCGAGCTTGGATTTTTTTTTAATCTCTGATCTGCTGTCAAATGCTGGGCCACATCCACTTGGTGTCTTGACCTCCCCAAGCCTCAGTTTGCCTATCCGGGCATGAAGAACCTGGGCCAGAGCCTTATCTGCCAGCTCAGTTGCTCAGTTCCGGTGAGAGTCCCAGGAGAGCCGATAAAGCAAAGGATAAAGCATAGAAGCCTTTGAAAAGCACAGAGCCTGCACCCCGCCCCCAGGTGTGATTATTATTGTTACCCTGATGCAGTGATAAGCGAGATATGGAGCAGTTGCCAAGAAACCAGGAGCTGTCTGAGGCAGCTTCCATCTGGCCCACTCAGGAACCGGGCCCGGTCCCTAGACCCCTTGCCTTACTCTTTCTCAGGGAAAGATGGACACCACCAAGAGGTAAGGAAACTGGGCCAACTGGCTGGTGACCAGGGAGTTGCAGCAGCTGAAGGTCACTCTAAAGTGTGCCTGGCCCAGGCTCCCCAAGTTGGCTATCCCTGTGACATTGGCAAGTCACCTCTTATGGTGCTGCAACCTGTTCATGTGTCCAAGGATGTGCCCAGCACAGACAGGGAAAGCCTGGAGCCAGGAAAGCCATGGCAATGTCTGCAGGAGCCCGGGCCTGCGGTAGAAAGTCGCTGTAGGCAGGCCAGTTGACAAGATGAGGGGCCTATGTGGTGGACAGCTGGGATATACATAGTGGAGTCAGACTCGAGTCTTGCCCTTTCCCTGCTGTGTGATCTTGGGCTGGTTAGAGAATGTCTCTGTGCTTTTGGTTTTTCATCTCAATGAAAACATCACTGTGGGGGGAGGGCTGGGGGGGCATCAAGATGCCTCAGCAGGTAAAGGTGCTTGCTCCAAAGCCTGACTACCTGAGTTTGGTTCCTGGGACTCACATGGTGAAGGAGACCACCAACTCCTGTGAGTTGTCCTCTACCTACCCTGTCGCGCACACATGGGGCATCTGGTGGTGCGTACGGGGCCCCTTACCCCAGCTGCTGGAGTAGGAAGAATGGAAGAGATTTTTCACTGAGCTTGGCCTGAGGGTCAGGAAGGGTTCTGGGAAAGTGAGAAGGGGACAAGGGTTAGGGGACCTCCCGTCGTGTGAAGAGAGGATGGGAAAGACAAGGCTGGAGGGACCTAGAAGGCTAAGCTCATGCAGGTGGTGGGGGGGCGTGCAGAGAGACCAGAGGCTTACGGAATGATGGCCGGAGAGGAGCAGCAATGTCTGAGCAGAAGGCAGAGTTGAGGGGAGGAGGGGGAGGAGGAGGGAGAGGTGAGAAGAGGGAGGAGAGGCCAAGTCTGTTGCTTCAGACGGATGTGTTAAATGAGCAGCTGCTAGATAAGAGACTCTGTCATGTGGGGTTAAAGGGATAATTACTTCTTCACCCAGATCCCCAGCAGTTTTATGGTCTTGGACTCATGGAGTATGGCCTTGGGCAAGTACTCAATCTTGCAGGGTGTTAGTTTCTTCTCTCAGAAAGTAGGGACCCCAGCTGGTAAGATGGTTTAGCGTGTAAAGTCGCTTGCTGCCAAGCCTGGGGGCCTGAGTTTCATCCCTGGCACCGTCATGGAGGGAGACAACCAATACCTATGAGTTGTCCTCTTATCTTCATACATGTGATCTTCATACATGTGTCATGGTTGGCCCTGCTGCATCTCTTCAACTGTCAACAGGGTGTGATGAGCAGTCCTCAGGCCGCAGGCTGGGATGGCTCCACGGGAGTTGGACCTTCAGGGTTGGTCACATATTACGGAGTTCTGACTTTGGAGACCTCAGACTTGGGTGCAGAAGCCTGCTCTGCAGGTGGGTGCCCTTTCTGTGCCTGTCTCCCTATGTAGGCAGTAGGCAGCCTGACAGCACTACCTTGGTAGGCTTTGTTAAGATTGTCCTTTCACCCATCAGGACCCAGGACAGAATGTCCTGTGCCCTAGTCCCACCCCTCTCTTCCCCAGTCCGTTAGGACCCAGCTGAGGGGTTGCCTAGCTAGAGGAGGGCCAGGACTTTGGCCAGTAGAGGTGAGAGATGGAGGTGGGTTACGTTGAGGAAGAGGGTCCTAGAAAGGGGCTGGAGTGTCCCCCCATAGCTGGGAGAGGTCTCTCTTGGCCCTGTTCTGGCTTCAGCAGCTCTGAGAGATGGACATGGGGCCTGGGAAGCTAGGAGGAGCAGCTCTAGTAGCCATCACCACCAAGCTGGCCTGAAGCCATCCGTGTCTGATTCTGGGGCCACAAAATGGGTAGGAAGTACCACTTACTGAGCCTGGCTCTGGAAATTACCACTGCATGCAATCGTAGATTCCTCTGAGAGCACCCAGCTTTGCTCCGGCCTCAACCGTGCTTCCCCACCACTAAGTACAGTCTTCTTTTTCAGGTGGGAGAGAGTTCAAGACAGGGTTCCTCTATGTAGCCCTGACTGTCCTAGAACTTGCTCTGTAGACCAGGCTGGCCTCAGACTCACAGAGATCTGCCTGCCTCTGCCTCCTGAGTGCTGAGACTAAAGGCATGCGCCACATTCTTCTCTACACTGCCTGAGTGCCAGCCATGCTTGTTCAAGGCTGTTAGCTTTGAAGTCTAGCTGTCCTTGTCTGTAGGGGGCCTAAGAACTGGCTCAGAAGGTAAAGAGCTTTCAGTACAAGCATGAGGACCTGAGTTCAGATCCCCGGCACCCAGGCAAAAATCTGGCATAATGACACACATTTATAACCCCAGCTCTGAGGAGACAGAGACAGGAGGGTGCAGGGGCCTCCCTGGTATCGCTAGCTCACCAGGTAACCAGTGAGCTCCAGATCCAGTGAGAGCCCCTGTCTCAAAAGAAAAAAACAAGATGGAAATCAGTTGAGGAAGACACATAACCTCTGGCTTTCACATACAGGCACACCTACACACACACACACACACACACACACACACACACACACACACACACACACACACAGAGCGAGAATGAGTAACCCCAGACCCCAGTACACTAAGGGCAGAGAGGGTCTTCACAGAATGTATCTGAACACGGCTAAGGGCCTCTGTCTAATCTTCCATCCCGTCTCCCATCTCCCGCTCCCCACCGTGTCAACGGTAGTTGTGCTGAGTACATTCCCTCACTCACCAGCCTTCCATGGCTTTCCTGGTCACCTCAGTCTAACAATCAGTCAGAAATACTCTATGGGGCCCTACTTGGGAGAGTGTCTGTTGTGTCAATAGCTATGGCTGCCCAGTCATGGTGCTGAATTGCTTTGGTGACCGGGGCCCAGAGGGGATGCTGTGTCCTGGACTCAAGTCACACTAGCCAGCTGGCGCCTGAGGTCATGTCCACACTGATGCTATGGGCTCAGAAGGCTGCTGCCACCAGGCCTGTCCTTTTGAGTCAAGCAGTGCCAGGATGCAGACCTTGTAAGAAGTTGACAGCCCTCAGGGGTAGCGGACCCTCTCATGCTAAGTAGGGCTGAGGCTGGTTCCTCTGGCCTAGGGAGAGGCAAAGGGGCCTAGAACTTTCCAGGGTCGTCTTCTGGGCCAGACTTCTATAGGTCCTCCCTCTCCTGGGTGTGTCTGCCTGGATCTGCCTGACTCAAGCCTGCCACAGGCCCCTGAAGCTCCTCTGGAAGGTGACTCACCCTCTTGGGATTAGCCTGCCTTGGTGGAACTGGGGCTGGGGTGCAGCCATGTCGGGTTGGCCTCAGGCAGCGACAGAAGCCAGGCCTGCTTCACCAGGCCACAGGTTCCCTGGATCTGGGAACCACTGGGCACATCCTCCCCTTGACTTTGGAGGTGGACTCAGCAGGACAGGCGCTGGCTGCACTCTCTTTAGACCTGCCCCCTGTCCTTGAAGGTCTGTGGGTGTAACTTCATCCAGGCTTAGAGTCAGATGGGTCATCAACAGCAAGCGGCCTGTTGTTGGCTGACTATGCGACCTCTGTGTACACCGTAGTCCATGTCCTAAAATGGGAGTGAGGAGTCCTGCCTACAAGGCTAGGGAGTGGCTCATACCGGCCTGGCATGGTAATAGCAGTCCGGAGCCCACTGCCCACTGCAGACTCTGGGAGGGTCCCAGAGAGCTAGGGACCTAACAGCTCCAGTTTCTACAGCAACGCTTGCTGCACCCGACTCAGCCTCCATCTTCAGAATGGGCTGGAGAGCTTGGGGGTCCACCTCTGACCTCTGGGAAGGGGAGCCCACATAGAATCCTGTTCAGGGACAACCCCCTTCTTCCTGGAGAGCTCAGGGCCCTACCTACCTGGCTCCCCCAGCTTGCAGAGAACTCTTCTTCTCAGAGATCCTGAACCTCCCAATCTGAGGCGCTTTCTGATCTCAGACTCCTTTTCCCTTCCAGGAGGAGTGATGAACAGAAGCAGCGCGTCCCTCAGGCACTAGACCTGTTACTAGTGGACTCGGTTCCCACCCACCCTGCCTCACCTTATCCTAAGGTGAGTGACCCCAACCTATGGCCCTGTCCTCTACCCCGCCATGCCAGGGCTGGGAGATGCCAAAACGTGACTTGCATCGGGAAGATGTAAAATATTCAGGTTGATGCCACTGGGGCACCCAAAAGGACACCACCCCTACCCATTGGGTGGCCTGCGTGGTCTCAGAGGTTGAGCCAGTGTCTACAGAAGTGAGGCTGAGGGATAAATTATTAAGTTGGTGGCTCCTTTGCCTTCTCTCCACTCTCATCATGGCCTCAGCTGTCCCTACTACAGGCCAGGCGTGATGATAGCCCCTGCTTCTCACAGCCACCAGGATTGGATAAAAGATGTCTGTCCCACAGCCTGGACCATCTCTGGCTCTGAGCCCTATGGTGAAGACTTGTCTGTTGCTCTCATCAACAACCAAGGTTTGCCTGGCACCTGCTTAGTATCAATCATAAAGACTCCTGGCAGGCCAGGACACAGACCCTACCCCCAGAAGCCATGCCCTGGCCAAGAGATGAGTGACTGAATGGCTTTTGCAGAATGTCAGGGACCAGGGGCAGCTGGTGTTTCAGGGGATTCCGTTGCTGCTACATAGTACTTACTGTCTTGCCTGTAGTGTCACTCTGTCCCTCAGCTAGTCACTCTGTGCTATAGCCGTGGTCATCCAAATCCAAGCTCAGTGATACTGTTATTTTCCCAAAGGGCTGCAGGTCGTATGCTGTGGGGCCAGGACTGGCTGATGCCTCTGGCCGGTATGTTGTCCAGCGTAGGGGAATGAATTCTTTCTGTGGCAGGATGTTCTGCAGTGACAAAAGCCCACCTACAGCCACCTTTCATCAACCTTGGGCATGGAGCCTGCTCCCAACTAGGATCTAAATGCTCAGACATGTGAAGGGTCTTCCCCAGGGTTGCACAGCCAGGAAGGCTCTGCCAGGAACCTCCTCCAGAGCTCTGGCCTAGAATAAGGATTATCAGGAGGATGAAGGACCAAAGATGTTCTCTATGTGTAGGACGACTGTTTCCATGGAAATCATAAACAAGGATCCTTTAGGTTACATACAGGCTTTCTGGGTCCCTCTCCTGCCTTCCCTGGTGGGCAGCAGCCCCAAGCAGGGCCACAAGGGTCCTCAAGAAACAGATTTGATGGCAGCCATTTGCTGGAACAACTGGGTTTGTGAGTGAGATTATTCCCTGGGTACTGGACTATTATTTGTTCTATTCGGGTTTCAGTCTTTTCATCCAGGAAGGAAGGAAGGAAGGCAATTGTAGCACATACTTGGAGCCTTGCACCTCAGACATTCCAAGCTGGGCCCTTCTGATTACCACTGATTACCCTTCAGCCTCCTGGTATCCAGTTGGCTACCACTTTGCAATTGTGATAACACAGACATTGAGCTTCAGATCACCCCATTCTCACCATCCACTACTCCCCCAAATCAGGACCAACCTGTGAGCTGTTGTCCTTTTCCAGGGCTGAAAATCAGCTCCCAGACACTGAGTGATTCTTCTGGGGGTTCCAGTAGGCTACATTCTCCAGTTTTCCTCCGCACCCTATGTCGGTACATATTTATGATGACATTGGAACCAGTTTGAGGGACATCTGACCTCCATGTGTAAAGGGCAAGTTCCACCTATAGCATACTAGACAGCTCTTCTCTATCGACCTTGTCAGCTCATCACTGGGTGAGGCCTGTGGAAGTGATTGTTAGGAGTTATCAGTCTGCCTGTGTTCTCAGGGCTAGGCAGGGGAGCCACATTTGAATAGATACTAGCTGCCCTCTGCAGGATTCAAGGACTGTAAAATCTACATATAAGTGCATTCTTGGCCTACCCATACCTAGACATTGGGCCAGGCCACAGACAGGCAGACAGACAGACAGGCAGGCAGGCAGTCAGGCAGGCAGACAGACAGACAGACAGGCAGACAGACAGACAGGCAGGCAGGCAGTCAGGCAGGCAGACAGACAGACAGACAGGCAGACAGACAGACAGGCAGGCAGGCAGGCAGACAGACAGACAGGCAGGCAGGCAGACAGACAGGCAGGCAGTCAGTCAGTCAGGCAGACAGACAGACAGGCAGGCAGTCAGTCAGTCAGGCAGACAGACAGGCAGGCAGGCAGGCAGACAGAAAGACAGACAGGCAGGCAGGCAGACAGACAGACGCACATATCTATAGTGTATTCAGACTTGCACTTGAATACATGAAGGATATAAACAGTGAACACCCCTACCCACCCCTTCCACCCCACTCCCACACTTCTGTGTTACAGAAACACAGCATGTCACGTACAGCCACAACTAGCCCTGGAGTTGCGCACGTACACACTTAGAAGCGTGCACAGCATCCACTCTACCTGGCCTACATATGGCTGGTGATATGAGCAGGCTTGGCCTCCCCCTGGGTCAGTGTGGGAAAGGATGTTCCTCTGGCTGCATTGTGATGGGTGCCCGGAAGTGTGCAGGTCTGGAAGCGGTTGCATAAATCAATATTTGCTGCTGTTAATTATTAAAGCCAAAGCTGCTCGGTGTCTGGAATGCACATCTCCGGTGTTCCCGCTGGCTCTCTGGGCCCAAGCCTGGCCTGGGTCTGGGTCTGGGAGGGGAAGAACAGGGCTGCCTGCCTTCCTTGCCCGAGCTCCTGGCCCTGGGGACAGAGGGTGGTGGGCAGCTCTTCTGGGAAGTTGCAGGAGGTCTGGCCCCTGAGCTGGAGGACAGCTCTGCCCTTGTAGCACCCAGAATTCTCCAGCCTCTGTCTGGAGGATGGGTGGTATGGCTGGGGCCCTGTCCCCACTGCACAGCGGCTGCCCCAGCCCGAGACACAAGGACAGCTGGGTCAGATGGGAAGACTCCCGAGGCCTTGTACTGCGGATGGTGAATTGGGCCAACAGAGGTGCCACACCCTCAAGTTGTAACAAGGCGAGAGCTAGACCCTGAAGAACCTAAACTATAGAATTCCTGTCCTAAAGTTCGCATGTTCCTTTCTCTCCACCCCAGGCTTTCCCCCAGGGTTGGGCAGGGTCAGATGCTGAGGTGGCGAAGAGGTGAGGAGGAGGCAGCTCCAGGCTCTTTCAGGAATCCCTGGTTTTCCTAGTGGTGTTGTCTCCGACAAGCTATTGCACCTCTTGGAATATGATTTTCTTATCTGTCTAATAAGTATAGCCAAGTACCTCCTTGGTTATGGCAAGATGGTGGGACACATAAAAGGGTCCAGCTAAGGAAGTGCTCAAGTAAATCACCTCTCCAGGACTCTTGCATTTCCTGGGCACAGCTGTCCCAAGAACCTTTTCCTTGAAGCCCAGAGGCAGGGTCTAATGTCTGGGAAGCCACAGCTGCTAACATAAATGTCTAAGGCTTCCTGCGCGCAGGCGCAGTGTCCCAGGCCACTAGCCGGGCCGCCCCCATGAGGGGGCGTGGCCTAGACGTCCCGCCCGCGCCGCCCGCACCTGGCGCCCCGCCCCCTCGGGCCCGGCCGCGGGGCGAGCCCAGAGAAGACAGAGCAGCCGCAGGATAGGAGCTCGGAGCTCCGGCTACGGGGCCCGGGGCCCGGCAGGCTTGCAGAGCCGCCAGGGCTGGGGCTCGGGATGGCGCAGCCGAGGCCCCCAGCGCCCCAAGGCCGTCCGCGGAGGGGCTCGCTGCCGGTTGTGGCCGGCTGGCAGGTGAGGACGCTGGCAGGGGTGGCCTGGCCAAAGGGGGACCCTAGGGCCAGCACTCAGCCCGACTACCCCGAGTCCAGCAGGCTGTGTCTGAGCTTCATCACGGTGGATGTGTACGCTTTTGGACTGACACCGGACTACACGGAGCACCTCAGTCCCACGGGCAGTTTTCCACAACTGCCGTGGGACAGACTTGAGGACACTGGCCATGGGCTGCGGTAGCACTGTGTGTGTGTGTGTGTGTGTGTGTGTGTGTGTGTGTGTGTGTGTGTGTGTGTGTGTGTGTGTGTGTGTGTGTGTGTGTGTGTGTGTGTGTCTGCTACCGGGACTGCCTGCTGCCTTCACGGATGGGGTACAGATGTCACCGGGTGACTGTGGTGGGTTTCCCCCAGGTGGGAAGCCCAGCTTCTGGCTACACCACTCCCAGCCTGCCTTTGCCATGTGCCAGGGCGTCTGCTGCTGCCTGTGGGGCTGATACTGTGGGTGTTACTTGTTGCTGTGTGTGTACACTCTGGGTGACAGTACCATGTGTCAGTGTTTATGTCGTTGTAATTCTGGTGCAGTAGTGTGTGATGTTTCACTGTGCCTGGCTGTTTGGTCACCTTCAGGGGACCATCTCCCCCTCAGCCCATTGCTGGGTCTCCTTGGAAGGAGTAGGTCCAAGGCTGTCTGACTGACCCCGAACAGGTAGATGGAGGCAGTGTTGTGACACTGAGTCGAGCTGACAGGTGTGTTTGTCTTCCTGGACTACAGCATTTGTCTGTGCTGTCTGCCAAACTGCCAGTGGGATCTGTTCTTCTGAACTCAGAGGTATTGGGTGTGGCCACAGGTGACCATGGTTCCGGGGCTCCTGGGTACTGCTGGAGTGGACTTCGCAGGCTGAGTCTTGTTCTGTAGGCAGGCTCCAGACCGTGCCCATGAGGGCTTAGGTTCCGTGACCTTCATGATATGCATATGTGGTGTTGGGCAGTTGTACTAGGGACCCCACGGGGCTTAGCAACCCTGGCAGCTGTTTGATTCCTCTTTTTCTCAGAACTCTTGTCTGCAGTGTAGGATGCTGTGTTGGGTCTGTTGTGCAACATGCCTTGATCCTGGCAGTGATGCCTGGGATTCTGTGTCTGTTTCCCTGGGCCCCTGGCTTCCTTGCCCATGCTGGTGTGTCTCCTGGTCTCAGTCAGGAGAATGACTGAGTTTGTGTTACTGCGGTGCAGGATGCACAGGTGTGGGTTTGCCTATGTGTGAATCTCAAGTACATGTTGTGTGTAACTCAGGACACCAACATGTGTATGTGTGTGTTAGGCTATGTCTCTAAGAATTACTATGCACAGGTTCCATATGGATCCCTGTGTGTGTGTGTGTGTGTGTGTGTGTGTGTGTGTGTGTTTCTTGACACATAAAAGGTATTCCTGGTGCAGTGGAACTGTTCAAATCATGGAGTGCAAGCCTGTGTGTGTCCCACAGAGTATGTTTCCTGGTACACAGCCGTAACACATATGTGTGAGCTCAGGTGGCCCCTCCTGAGCAGCAGGGACTGCCCGGAGTTGAACCTTGGAGGGGGTTGGAGGAAAGGCTGCCCTGGAGATTCTGGGGGCTTCCCAGACTTGTCCCCCCAATCCGCCAGCCTCCATCCGGTAGGGATGCCGCCTTCCAGGAAGACTCAGAAGGGAGTTGGCATTGGAGAGGTCCATGCTGCCAAGCAGCTGCCAGACGCTGCATTAACCCTAAGTGTGTCCTGATTGGCCTTGGACAGGCTGGCTTGTGCAAGGGGGGTGCATGGGGGCTCATGCACAGCTGAAGGACCAATAGTAGTCCCGCATCTCTCCCCAAAGTGTCCCTAGCCCACACTGACCTGGGCATTTGTGAACTGACTCTTTTCCTGAGTGCTGGTGGAATCACAGACCCCTTCCATGCCTGGTGGGTTTTGGCTCTAGGACGGGGTCCTGGAGGCTCTCAGGGGTCCATATGCCAATCTGGAACTGGTATCTTCATACTGGCAGAGAGGAAGATGTCTCTTCTCCTAAAGAAACTTCCTCCGCCTTCAGGAAAGCAAACTGAGTGAGGTATCTGCCTGAGACCCAGCTCCTAGGTTCTGGACTCAGCTCACTAGGTGACCAAACTGGCCAAATTCTGGGGAGTTAGCTTTACAAAGTCCTGGTCATTCCTTCTGGTATCTGGTGAGAGGGCCAGGCAAGCTGGGGTGACTAGAGCCCGTTCAGGCTTGGTAGTGACAGCTTGGCTTCACTCAGACTGACCTCACTCTCCCTTCTCTGTTGCAGAACACAGATCTGTTTGAGATGATTGAAAAGATGCAGGTAAGGATGGGCCAGGGGACCCCAGAACGGGCTGGGCTAAAGGTGGCAGTCCCCTTCCTGCCTCCTCTCTGTGGACTCACCCAGGGTCCCAGCTCCCATCCTTCCTGGGTCCCCAGCAAGTCATCCCCACTTGTACATACCAGCCTAGCTCATCGGAGTCCTGGCAGGCTCCTGTGCAGTAACTCATGAAGAAGGGAGGAGGGGCTAGACCATCGATGCAGGTGGGGGAGGCATTAGTGAGCCAGGCAGCCTGGGGTGCAGTCTTGCCCCCAGCTTCACCCCTGCTCACCCTCCACCACCCAGCCCTGCTCTGTTTGTGGCATGGGTGAGTGTCTGGATGGGAGCAAAGGTTAATGGGATAGGGTGGGAGGTGGTTTGAAGAAAGCTGAGGGGCCTCCTTCACGTCAACTCTCTGGCTTGGTTCCCATTCCTTCAGTTTCTTTGCCTCCTCGTCTTCCCTCTCTTCCCCCTTCCCCTCCATGTATCTCTTGATGTGTTAGCCCCTCCCTCCTCACACACACGCGCGCACACACACACACACACACACACACACACACACCACATGCCTGCGTACACTTCCCTGCCCCCACTCCCAGCGGCACGTGCTTCCTGCACAGAGCCCCCGGCTCCTCCCTGCTGCCGTACCTCCCTCAGCTCATCACCACAGGGATGCCAGAGGCCTGAGGAGCAATCTGGCCAGCACATCGTTCTGCAAGTGTCCCTACACACATGGGCATCTGTCTTAGGGCGTGGCAGGAGGGTGACAGCACACCTTCTCTTGTAGGGCAGCCGGATGGACGAACAGCGATGCTCTTTCCCACCACCCCTCAAAGTAAGTGGGCCAGGCAGACTCGGGGGCATCCGCCCTACCAGGCTGGGTGGGGTCCGGAAAGAGTGTCCCACTTGCCACTGTGTGTCAATATTGGTGAACAGGGCACCTGGCCCTGGGAATTCAGCAGCTCCTAGAGCCTTTGTCCTGACCCTGGCAAGAGCTTTCAAGCCAGCTCTTGCTGCTCTCCTGCACCGCCGCAGACACCCGTCCCGCTAGGCCACCTCATACCAGCGCTGAAGCCCTTGTTGCTACGAAGGTGGCTGCCATCACATGGTTGTGTTTCCTTACTGGCCAGTGAGCCCCTGCTCTACTCAGCACAGGTCCTCAGACAGGCATGTACCTCCACTGATTGGAGACTCCTCTAGAGGATGTGGCTGGACCCAGGGGAAGGTTCCAGGGCTGCAGGAGTGTGCTGGACTGTAAGCCTGAAGCTTCATTCAGTGCTGGGGTCTCAGGTTGGTCCTTAGACTGATGCCACCAGGAGCTTGGTAGGAATGTCACTTCTAAGGTCCTACTTAGAGTACTGCCTCTGTCTATCCCGGCTTTCCTAAGGGGAGGCAGGAAAACCTCCCTTGTCCCTAACAGAAAGCAGGGACTGAAGCAGTCTGGAGATAGCAGACCCAGGAGCCTGGGAGCAAGCTCGTGTGTGTGTGTGTGTGTGTGTGTGTGTGTGTGTGTGTGTGTGTGTGTGTGTGTGTGTGTGTGTAAAGGGTGAAGCCTCACCTCAGCTGGTCCTTGGATTGTTTATATTTTGCAGACGGAGGAGGACTATATTCCCTACCCAAGTGTCCATGAGGTACCAGCGTCAGCCCCACACCCACCCTTACCATGACCCTGGGAGGCCCTCATGCAGGGTTGTCCCACGGAGACTCACTTTCCAGTCCTGAGAGTTCTGAGGTTATTGGAATCTGAGGCCTCTCGGCCACACTCTCTTCTACCCTTCTCCCCCATCCTTTACGTAGTACTGAGAAGTAAGGAGCCAAGCTGGTTCCCCAGAGGGGTGGATGAGAGCTTTGGGTCTCGTAGCCCTGGACTGTCCCCATAGTACCTGATAGTCCTGGGTCTGAGTTGGGGGGTTGCCCCTGGGAGTTTAGTGGGTGCTATGTGGAGTAGCTCTTAGCTGAATCCCCTTCTAGGTTCTGGGACGAGAAGGGCCCTTCCCCCTCATCCTGCTGCCCCAGTTTGGGGGCTACTGGATTGAAGGTACCAACCATGAGATCACCAGCATCCCTGAGACAGAGCCACTGCAGTCCCCCACCACCAAGGTCAAACTGGAGTGCAACCCCACAGCACGTATCTACCGGAAGCACTTTCTAGGCAAGGTGAGTGGCTGGCTGGGATGGGAGGCTGGGCCCCACAAGAAGTGGTGTTAGGCTAAAGCTGGGTCAGTATCCCAGAATTCTGAGTCTTGGGAAGCATCATGTGGATGCATGCGTTCACTCGACAGATGCTGAAGAAGGCAGTCGGGCATTGTTAAGAGAAGGGACCTCACCATGGTTTGTGCCTTACATAGGTTATCTACTATGTGCTTCAGTTTCCCCTTCTGTAAAAATGGCAATTATGACATCCATCTCATGTGGTTGCCTTATTGAGGAGATGCTAGTAAGGGGCTTTGAATGGCATCTCAAACCAAGTAAGTGCTTTTCAGTGTGAGCAGATTATGAGCACCAGCTGTATACCTGGTCTTTCCCTGAGCACTAGGTATGGAAAACAAAATCGATCCAAACCTGGTCCTCAGCAGCCAGGGCAGGGGCTGGGAAGACAGGTGGTGTCATAGTTTGACTTGGACTGTTGTCACCACAGCCTCAGAGCAGGGACTCTGCCGGATAACTGCTCCATAGACTGACACCCACGGTGACACTTTACTGAGTGTTTACTGAGCAAGGCATTAACTCTCCAGAGTTACCAGGTGTGATCTGGGTGTCGCCAGGCATGGCTGTCATCGAAGCACTTGGGAATCTGAGGCCGGAGGATCACCAGACGTTCAAGGCCTATGTAGGGAACAGAGCGAGACCTTTTCTCAACAGAAACAAAACAAAAAAGTTACTGGGTGGGAGAACCCTGTGCTGGGGCCCTAGATGTTACACTGGGTGCTGTCTTCGTGCTGTAAAAATAGGAGAGCTGTGCTGTGGGCTCAGGGCCTGGGTGCAAATGGTGACTCCTCCTTCTGTTGGTTTGGTTGCGTTATCTTGGGCGTTTTATTTAACCTTCTTGAACTGCTTCCTTATCTGTAGAAAGGTAAGACAGGTGTTAGTGTCATATAAACGTGGTTGATGGCAGCTCCCACCACACCTGTCTGCTCCCTCCGTGAGACTAAGGCTCTCCCGTTCTTGTGGGAGAGGAAACCAAAACTCAGGTTAGGTGACTTGGTCAAGACCAGTTACTGAGCCTAGAAGTAAACTAGCTCTCACAGACCTTCACTAAGATGCTCTGGAAGAGGGACTCCTGGTGTGTGTGTGTGTGTGTGTTTGCACATGATGAAAGAAGGGGTATCCTGGTATCCTTGTAGGATTGGGAAGCTGTGTGGCCTCAGTGTGGGCCCAGGGCACTAGGCTGTCTCCAGCGGACACTGGTGCTGTCAGCTTGGGGGTAGGTGGGGCGATTCACTATGCGTTGACTAACCCAGCAGGCTGAAGCTCCAGCTTTTGCCTGGGTCCAGACCCAGAGCATAGCACTGGATTCTACCTCCTGGCTGAGCCTGGTGTGGAGGGAGGGAGACCTTCATTCCAAGTGCCCACTGTCCAGTGCTCTCAGCAGTGCCTAGGAGCTGGGCTCTGTGAGCCTGGCACATAGCTAGCACACTAAACTTTACTAGAGGAGTCAGAGTACTGGGTGGAGGAGGGATCTTTGGCACGGCAGGTACTAAGGTACAGGTGGGGACTGTGGTGGCCAGGGTCAAGTCACCAGGACAGAGGGGAGGAGGTGGGGTGGGTGGCTGGGGAAGAAGCCGTGCCCAGCACAGGAACCACATGCTGGCAGTAAGAGGCAAGGAGGGTGGCCTTAGGAACCGACTTCCTGAGACCATGATCCCACCTTCCACTGCGTCTCTAGGGCTCCTCTGGCCTTGTGGGAAACTCCCAGCCCCTGGACTTCCTGGCCAAGTTCCTGCCACTTGTCTATGGACAGTGTCAGGCATTTTGGGGTTTTCTCCACCTTGTGCCTAGGTTGGGGTTCAGAGGGGCTCTGGGTCTAGGTCCATTCATTGGACCTAGTTCAGGGGAACTGCAGATTTGAGGACACACCCCCAGCCCTGCCTCTTTCTGCACCCTGCCTCCACATGGGATGCTCATGTTTAAACAAGGGTCACTTCCAGGGTGGCTGACTCCCAGGGCGGGTGTGGCTAGACAGTTCCACACCCAGGCCCAAGCCAGCAGGGGGAGCCCAGGGACAGGCTGGGGCTTCGGTGCCTCACTTCTGGGATCAGGGATTTCCCCCAAAAAAGGTTCCCCCAAAAGGCCTGGGTTCCCATAGAGGGGGTGCCATTCCTGTCATAGGCATCCCTTGCGCCCTTTTCTTTAGGTGAGGAGGAAGACAGGAACCTGTCTGGTCAGGTAGGATGCGTCACTTCCTGTTTCTCACGGGGCCTTGGCTTCAGGGGCCACTGAGCCACAGATTGAGCAATCAACTGTTCAACTTCTTTTTCCTTTAGTGCCTTGCACTTGCTAGTTGACCTCTATCCCTCTCTCCCTTCCCACCCCTTCATTCTGTGGAGGTCAAAAGAGGGCACTGGATCCTCTGACCCTGGAGTTACAGGCAGTTGTGAGCCACCTGATAGGGGTTCTGGGACCAGAAAGGTCCTCTCTAAGAGCAATGCATGCTCGTGACTACTGAGCCGTCCAGCCCCATGCTATGTTCTTTCTTGAGAGGGTCTCACTGTGTAGCTCAGGCTGGCCTTGAACAGGATCGCTTGCCTCAGCCTCCCCAGGCTGGAATCTAGGTGTTCACCACCAAGCCTGTCTAGTTGACTTCCTTCCTTCCTCCCTTCCTTTTTCTTTCCTTCCTCCCTCCCTCTCTCTCTTTCTCTCTTTTTTGTTTTTTTGACACAGGAATTCTCTGTGTAGCCTTTGGCTGTCTTGGAATTCTCTCTGTATACCAGGCTGGCCTTGAACCCAAATACCCACTTGCTTTTGCCTCCCAGTGCTGCTAGGATTAAGGCATGTACTGCCACCACTGGTTAGTTAGCTTTCCTTATTGAGCGATTGCTGGGTATTTAGGGGCTGGGGCATACATTCATACACATACATACATACATACACACACATACATACACATACATACACATGCAGGCACACAGAGAAGCATGTGGCTCTGACTTTGGCAAGGAGCCAGAGCCAGAGTTCCAACAGGCATTCCTGAATATGGCGGCAGGCACTTTACCTCACTCCCCTGCCCTGTCCAGGTAGGTGGCCTCTCTCCCATCTAATACAATAGGAAGGTGGGCATGGAGAGACAGGTGCTGCTCAGGCTGCCCAGCTGGCAAGAGGCGGGCCAATCTGATGCAGAGTCCGCTGTTGCTCACAGCATTTGCTGCTTGGTGATGGACCTCAGTGGGGACCGACTTGGCCGTCTGGTTTCCTAAAGCCAAAACCTCATCTTCCTCACTTCCCTGCCCCTCCCACCACAGGAACACTTCAATTACTATTCTCTGGACACTGCTCTTGGCCACCTGGTCTTCTCTCTCAAGTATGATGTCATCGGGGATCAAGAGCACCTGAGGCTACTGCTTAGGTAAGGGCAGTGAAGGGGGACCCCCCAAGACAGTAGGGAGGACGGAGGTCTAGAATTCGAGTGCGCAGCCCCCTGTACCTGCCTTCCTGATGGAAGCCCAGAGAGGAGCAAGAATTTGCCTGAGGTCACACAGCAAGGTAGTGCCTTAGCCAGGCTTGGTACCCTGCTGTCACCTTTTGTCCCCGGAGGAATTCCCACTGTTGAGTCTCTCACCTGCGTAGCTTTCTCTTCCCAGGACCAAGTGTCGGACCTACCATGATGTCATCCCCATCTCCTGCCTCACTGAGTTCCCCAATGTGGTCCAGATGGCAAAGGTGAGGCCATGAGCTTCCTGGGTCTGGGGTTCTAGGATCCCCAGGCCTGCATATGGCAGCTGCTTCTCAGGGCAGCCTCTTACCCGATCCAACCCAGTGTGCATGCTGCCTGTGTCGCCCTGGGTACCTGCACACGTACTTCTAGCTCTCTTTACGGCACCCACAGATTCCAGGTGGCCCCAGTTCTCTGGGCCCCATTGTGAGCAGCAGTGAGGGCCCCTAGGCTTTCACTAGCCTCTGTCCCAGACTGGCCCATCCCCACCCTTTCTGCGGCTGTTTTCCCTACCCTTGCCTACCAAGACCCAGGAGGGCTCTCCTGTTCTCCTTGACCCCAGCTCACACCCCTCCCTGTCATCTTTTGCAGCTGGTTTGTGAAGATGTCAACGTAGATCGATTTTACCCAGTTCTCTACCCCAAGGTACCTGCCCTGACTTGTTCACCCAGGGTGGGTGGCAGTGGGAGGAGTGAGCACCGGTTGGCCCCTTCTGTGACTGGGCATCTCCCCCAGGTCCTCTTGTTTGCCCCTGACAACCCTGCATCGCCCACAGTGTGCATGGAAAGCACAGAAAGGTTCTATCTACTTACGGATGCGCAGCAGATAAAGGGCAGGGGTGGTGGGGGTGGGGGCTTCCTGGAGCCTTGCTCATGCCTGGAATGTCTCAGTGCTATCTGGGGAGCTTCCTAGGATGTCTGTGCTCTAGACTTTTCCCCGTGGTCCTTGCCTTCTAGAGGATACAGGGAGACAGAATAACACTGTTAGGTCTCCCCGTGACCTTGTTTAGAGAGAGAGAGACAGACACACACACACAGAGACAGAGAGAGAGAGAAAGAAAAAGAGAGAGACAGACAGACAGACACAGACACACACACAGAGACAGAGACATAGAGAGATGGAGACACACGGGGAGAGACAGAGAGACAGAGAGAGACAGTCACACACACAGAGACAGAGAGAGGCAGAGAGACATAGAGAGATAGAGAGACGGAGACACACGGGGGGGAGAGACAGAGAGAGAAAGAGAGAGAGAGAGACAGACACATAGAGAGACAGACAGACAGACACACACTCAGAGAGAGAGAGAGAGGGAGGGAGGGAGAGAGAACACAGTGGTGCTCCCAGCAAACACTGCCCGCGCTCTCCACAGGCCTCCAGACTCATCGTCACCTTTGATGAACATGTTATCAGCAATAACTTCAAGTTTGGAGTCATTTATCAGAAACTGGGGCAGGTGTGTTTACCCATCCCCTCCCCTAGCCTGGCCCTGTGGCCCATCCCACCTCACCCTCAACTGTTACCTGCCAGAGCACTCAGCTTCCTGAGAGCTTGGGCACTACTCTGGGAGGAAATGGACCCAGGGAGTTGTGACCTTACCCTCCATTCCCACCCGTGTGGTCCCCAGACATCCGAAGAGGAACTCTTCAGTACCAATGAGGAAAGTCCTGCCTTCGTGGAGTTCCTTGAGTTTCTGGGCCAGAAAGTCAAATTACAGGACTTCAAGGGGTAAGTCCCAGGGTTAGATGGCTAGAGCAGAATATGATCATGTTCCTGAGCAGGGAGCCCCATCTTGGCCCCACAGAGGCCTGACTGGAGCTGGAAACTGAGCCATGGCCTGGGGGGCCTGGGGACAGGTTCCGAGGAGGCCTGGACGTGACTCACGGACAGACAGGGACCGAGTCTGTGTACTGCAACTTCCGCAACAAGGAGATCATGTTTCACGTGTCCACCAAGCTGCCATACACAGAAGGGGACGCCCAGCAGGTAGTGTGGGCGCCCATCTGCCTGTTTCCTACAGTTACCTGTGACCCTATCCAAGTGTCTGTTCAGCATCCATCACACCAGACTCAGTGCTGGCCCTGTGATACAGATACAGAAATGGCCCCCTCCCCCAGGACGGGCTGTGGGTGGAATGGGGAGGGGAAAGCCCTGGCTTTTGCCCCTGTGGAACGATGATAATAATGACGTCTACAAGGTAGATGAGTTAAAGGAGAGGGAATGTGGCTAGAGTAGATTACACACAGCAGGAGTAAGAGGCATGGTGGGGTCACGTGGGGGTCCTGAGACTTAGCAGAGCCAGGAGTTAGGAAGGGCTTTTAAGATAAATGACAGACTGCCAAGTTGCTAACAGAAGGAAGTGGCGAGTCCTGAGAAGAAGCAATAGGGAGTTCAGGCACGATCTTAGAGCCAAACTCAAAATGCAATTTACCCTGTCTCGCTGGCTCCCATCAGGCTACCTGCTTGACTCCACTGCCCCAGCCCAGGGAGCTCAAAGGGTAATCGATGATGGAGATGTATTATTCTTACTGGCCTTCTACCTTTGGCTTTCCCTTTAGCAGCACTAATTCCATTGTTCAGTGATGGACGTGTTTGGGGGTGTTGAGATAGGACTGAGATAGGGGAGGGGCTGAGGGGTGGGACCTGGGCTTGAGACTTGGGTTAAAATCCCCAAGGGCATCTGGAGACCTTGAAATTACTCTCCTCCCAGCTTCAGTTTCTCATCTGTCAGAGGTAGCCAAGGAAACTGGAATAACTTTAAGATGTTTTGCCATTTTGGGGGTGGGCAGGAAACACACATCCCTAGATGCTTGCTCTACCCCCCCCCAACCCCACACGCTGTGGCACCCCTGTCCCACACCCTGCATGGCCAGGCTGTGAAGGCCGGTGGCCCTGTGCTCAGTTGCAGCGGAAGCGGCATATCGGGAACGACATCGTTGCTGTGGTCTTCCAGGACGAGAACACGCCCTTTGTGCCAGACATGATTGCATCCAACTTTTTGCACGCCTACGTGGTGGTGCAGGCGGAGGGGGGCGGCCCCGATGGCCCCCTCTACAAGGTAGGTAAAACTGGGGCCTGCCAGACCCCTCCTTAGAGAGAGACCACTTACCTCCCAGTCCGGTCTGGTCTTACCCCACCTCCTTAGCCTTCGTGAGGTCCTCCCACCAGCCCCACCCTGCAGACTCAGGGCAATGACCGGAGGAGCAGAAATTCTGGTTTAAAAGGTCCCCACAATGAGTAGCCCCCAGGCCTCCTGGACCCCATGGAATCTGAACAGATTCAGGAGTTTCTAGATCGTGTGAACAGGGAAGCAGGGTGGGCCCTGGACCCCACAGAAGCAGCCTCTTCCCCTTCCAGGTCTCCGTCACTGCCAGAGATGATGTACCCTTCTTTGGGCCCCCCCTCCCGGACCCTGCTGTGTTCAGGAAGGTGAGAGGCAGCCCTGCTCTGTGATCACCAGACTAAAGCGGGAAGGGGCTGAGAGGCCACAGTCTTGCCTCAGGAGGCCCTGCAGGCCGACTTTGTACTGGGATCTAGGTTCCCCTTCAGCTCTGCTACCTCTCTTTGTCTTGATAAATGCTGTGACTTATTCTACAAGGTCACCGTGTACACTGCAGGGCTGTTTGACATTTTTCCTAGCTGACTGTAGCCTTTCGTTTCTCTCTGACAGTCTGGCCTCTAAAATGGTTTTTTTTTGGGTGGAGGGTGCTTGCACACATATCTCTGTCAACCTCTCAGTAGCTACATGGCAAATCTTAGTTTGATCCCCCCTCCCCCTGCATGTTCCCCAGGGGCCCCCAAGTTAGGGGGTGCCACCAGAGGTACAGGGTTCCTTGCAGGTGCCTAGCTAGAGATCTGAGCCCAAGGAGAAGCTAGAGCAAGGCACAGCTCAGGAGCTCCAGTTGGATTCACCCAGCTCAGCCCCTTCCTCAGTGTTCATCTGACCCTCCTTTCGTCTCCTCTCTGGGGGCTCCCAGGGGCCTGAGTTCCAGGAATTTCTGCTGACGAAGTTGATCAACGCTGAGTACGCTTGCTATAAGGCAGAGAAGTTTGCCAAGCTGGAGGTAACATGGGTCAGAGGGATGGCCCTCTCCCTGGAAGGAAAAGGCATGTTCAGACCTTGGCTTTGGGGGGCTGACTGGGGACAGCCGAGCCACAGGTCAGCTGAGAGGCAGCAGAGGGCAGTGTCTAGCCTGCGGTGGAGGGGAAGATGCCATGCAGGAGGAGGGGCCAGAGAATTGTGGAAGTCAGTGCAGGAGCCTGAGGACCTCCCCATGCCTTGCACGGGGTAGGTGAAGCTGGGATTGGAATTGCCAGTCCAGGGGTTGATCTCTGGGGTCTCTCATGGCCGACTCACAGGAGCGGACGCGTGCTGCCCTTCTGGAGACACTCTACGAGGAGCTCCATGTCCACAGCCAGTCCATGATGGGCCTGGGTGGCGATGATGATAAGATGGAGAATGGCAGTGGCGGGGGCGGCTTCTTCGAGTCCTTCAAGGTGAAGGCCCCGGGCTTGGCCTCTGCAGGCTGGGACTAATGGAGGAGGAGGGGGCATGATGGCCAGAGGCAGCTCAGGTGTGGATGGGCCTGGGGAGGAGCTGGTGGTCTCAGCTCTAGAAGTGGGGTTTGAGGTGGGGCTTGGGGTTCTGTGAGGGAGTTGTAGCTAGAGGTGGGGTTAGGGCAGGTCTCATAGACTGAGGCCCGAGCATGCGGCTAGATGGGGTGTGGCTGAGGGCTCGTATCTCGGCTTACAAGTGTGACTAGGATTGAGATATAGCTTGGTGAATCTACACTTGCCAGTTCATTGAAATCGGGAGATGTGCTCTGCGCTTTGGGTAGTCTGAGCCAGCAAGAAGGGTATAAAGCAGGGCTCTGGTTTGGGGTGGAGTTACTGGCTGGAGGGGCTCAGGAGAGGGTCTAACCCGAGAGCACCACCAAAGGACTCCTCTAGATGGCAGAAAGGAGCCAATGGTGCCACCATCTGAGGGCAGAAAAGAGGGGAGGAGGTCTGTCTCTAAGAAACAGGCTCAGGAGGCGTGTGTGGACGGAGTAGCATTGCAGAGGGCCTCACGGTACGACCTCCCCTGGTACTTTGTGGTTTCGCTAAGAGCACTCGATTACCTGCATTTACATCCCAGCTCTGCCACTTACCAACTTGGTTAGGCATGCTCCAAGCCTCAGTTTACCTGTTGAGTAGGGAAACGGGGGTCATGGCCGCTCACCACACAGAAATGCTTTTGAATTATTTGCGAAGCAATTAGGTTAGCACAATGTGGATGTAAGGCAGTGATTGCTCCTCCTAGTCTACTGGTGGGAGGTGACCTCACTTATGCAGCTCAGCTACTGTGTGAACTGTGGGTTCACTTAGGAAGGCTAGTCCAGTGGCCCACAAAGGACACCCACAAATTGGCCTAGAGAGCCATAGCCCTACCTCTAGAGTCGGGGACCCACGGATTGAACACGGGTCTAGTGTTTTCTTTGAGAAGATCTAAGGGTTTCTCATCTGGCTGGTGCCGTGTAGAGGCCCTGGGTTAGGTCAAAGCATGTCTCCAAGGCAATGGGATCTACGGGGAAGGCACAGGGTTCGCGCTATGGACCCCAGGTGCACCTCTGCCTAGGTTTTCTCCTGGGTAAGGTGCACGTTAGATGGTCCCACCTAGTAGGGAGGCTTGGATGGCAGAGTTCTAGCATGGTCTGAAAATGGACAGAAAGTGGGGGAAGGACCCCAAGAGTCCCACAGGACTCTGGTGAGCGCAGTCAGCCATGTGCAAATTCAATATTGCCTGTTATCCTCGTGGTATCCACAGGACAGCATGCTGGTGAGACAGACAAAGTCTAGCTACCCTCTACAAGCCTTCTGTATACAAGCCTTCTGTATACAAGCCTTCTGTATACAAGCCTTCTGTATACAAGCCTTCTGTATACAAGCCTTCTGTATACAAGCCTTCTGTATACAAGCCTTCTGTATACAAGCCTTCTGTATACAAGCCTTCTGTATACAAGCCTTCTGTATACAAACCTTCTGTATACAAGCCTTCTGTATACAAGCCTTCTGTATACAAGCCTTCTGTCTACAAGCCTTCTGTATACAAGCCTTCTGTATACAAACCTTCTGTATACAAGCCTTCTGTCTACAAGCCTTCTGTCTACAAGCCTTCTGTCTACAAGCCTTCTGTCTACAAGCCGTCTGTATACAAGCCTTCTGTATACCTGTCTCTCCAGTGACAAATAGGAAAATGGCGCATCACAGAGGGGTGGGGCTTCCAAGGTTCACCCAGAGTGCCATTGGTGGGGAGGGGCCATGTGCCTGTGTCCCTGAGGTTTCCCAAAGACAAGACACCCCCAGGAAGCCTATACCTCCTTCACACCCACCCCTATTCCTACAGAGAGTCATCCGGAGTCGGAGCCAGTCCATGGACGCCATGGGCCTGAGCAACAAGAAGCCCAACACCGTGTCTACCAGCCACAGTGGGAGTTTCACCCCCAACAACCCTGATCTGGCCAAGGCAGCTGGAATAGTGAGTGTCCCCCACTTCCCCTGTCTCCACCCCCACCCTGGGCCCTGGTTCTCCTCCCTCCTGAGGCCTGGCCTTACCTCCCCCACTGCCCTGTTGTTCATGCGCCCATCCTGGGCACTGGACTTGGTGTAGACCCTGCTCTTCATGGTCAAGTGCCCCAATCAGGATCCTGGGATACTGCCCCCCGCCCCGCTGGCCTTCTCCTCCTGGCCCTTTGTTTATTTGGGTGTGACTTTCTGAAGCCTCTATGTCCCAATCCTTACTGAACGCCTGCTGTCTTTTGTGTGCTGGGAACTGGGCTGCTGTGTGGGCATTTACTGTCGAGCCTTAGGTTTCTTGAAGCACCTCTGTATGTCAGGCTGTGGGCATCACTGTGTGTCAGGACTGGGCTGCTGTGTGAACATGCACTTTCTGAGCACCTACTGTGGTCCCAGCCCTGAGTTCTTATGAGCACCTACTGTGTGCACCCTGGCCTGCTGTATGAACACCTACTGTGTGTCGGAAAATGGGCTGCTGTATGGGCATCTACTCTGTAAGCACTTACTGTGTGCTCCAACCCTGGGCTGTTGTGTGATCACCTACTGTGTGTCAGGACTTGGGCTGCTGTGTGAACAAATGATGTGTGCTAAGCCCTGATTATCGGGACATGTGCTGTCTGCCAGGATGTATGTTGTTGTGTGGACATTTCTTGTGTGACATTCTGTGTCTGTGGCAGCCAGGGTCTCAATGCCTGTGGCTGCCCTTTTGTGTGTCTGGAAATGGGCTTCTGTGTGGGCTTCTCCTGAGTTAACCCCTTCACTATGGTTACTAATTGTCTACCAGGCTTTATGGGAGTCTGCGCCCAACACTCAGTGAATTTTACAAATCTGCATTATGACTTACTGCTTTGTGCCATCTAGTGGTCACCTCAGACACTGCATCCATTGCTCTGCCCTTCCATCCCCATTTGCCCTAATTCACCCACATATTCATCTACCCATCCACCCACCTATGCACTACCCATTCATCTGCCCATCCAACAGTCCATATACCTATCATACTATTCACCCACCCATCTGTCTACCCACCTGCCCATCTGTTCATTCTCTTCATCCACTTACACATCCATCCACCCCCTCCGACCCCCCACCCACCTACCCATCCATCCATCCATCTTTCCATCCATCCATCCATCCATCCACCCATCCATCTTTCCATCCACTCATCTGTCCACTTATCCATCCATCCAGCACCTGTTTACCTACCCAGTCGCCCATCCTTCTCTTACTGTCTGCTGCATGCCGAGCCCTGTGCTTTGTGCTGTGAGGCTGTCATGTGGCAGGGGTCTCCCCATCCCTACCATCTCTCGTGTGGTCTGGTCTGGCCAGGGGAGCAAGGTGAGGTCTCTGCTGTCCAGTGGTCACCAAGTCCATTGTCACCTAGGAGCTGGCCCAACTTCTCCCCAGGTTCTCAGCCCCTCCCTTCTTGCCCGTGGAGTGGCCTGGCCTCCTGTGGGTGGCTGTGGAGGGGCCCCGGGGTTAGGGCCAGGCCAGCAGCACCCACCATGGCAGTAACCAGACCCATTTCTGTTTTTGTTTTTGCACAACTCCCCCTCTCTTCACGTGGCTTCCTTTTCTTACTCTTCCTGTTTCCCCATCCTTTCCTCCCTTCGCCACCTGTCGGCGCTCCTCTTTCCCTGTCGGCTTGCTCCTGTCTCGCCTCCTTGCCCACCCGTGCCCCGCTGTCTCTCCCTACCCCTCGGTTTCTCTGTGTGCTCTCGCGGTACCCCCCTGTCACTGCCTCCCTTCTCTCTCCCCCTCCTTCCCTCCGTGTTCTCTCCCACCACTCTGTACTCTCCGCCCCACACCAGTCATTGCTTATTCCCGGGAAAAGCGCGAGTAGATTCGGACGCCGGGGCAGCGCCTTAGGCATAGGAGCTGTGGAAGAGGTTGTCATCCCATCCAGGGGCCGCGGCTCTGGAGCTGCCTGCACCTGCACGCGCTGTTCTCTGCTCGTTCTCAGGACGGAGGCCATATTGGGGACGTGGCCCCTTTCGCGGGACAGGCCCAAGGGCGTGCAGGGCAGAGTGCCACAGCTCTGGTGATACTGGGACCTGGTCAGCGTCCCCAGGCCCTCACTAGGAGACTCTGGCCTGGCCCCTAGAACCCTGGCTGGGTCCTGCCTGGGATCTGGTACTCAAAGGCCCTCTGCCCAGCTGCACGTCTCCCAATATTGCCGGTTCTGCATGAAGCACCATCCTTCTCTCCCCCTGTCCCTTCCCCACCATGAGCTGCCTGCAGGCCCTGCCCCACCCTTCATGCCTCCTCAGGGCCCACCTCCCCATGCTTCTGATGCTGGGCATCCCGCCAGAGTGTGTAAAGGGGGATGTCCCTCTGGGGGGCGGAGCCTGAAGTCTGAAGGTGCTGGTGCCCTTGCAGGGACTGGGGTTGCCACTGCTTTCTCACTACTACTTTTAGGCTGCAGCTCCCATGAGGCCCAGGGGCAAGAGGCGGGACCGTCTGAGGATTTGTCCTTCCTCCTGATCCCAGCGGCTGCCCCTGCCCTTCTAGGCCCAAGGTCCAGCACAGCCATGCTGTGTGTTCTCCGGAGCGGCGCTGGCCCTCTCTGGGCTCTTGCTCCGGGAAGCACCTTTTTCTCTCCTTTCTTGCTCATCACCTGTTGGCTTCAGGGCGCAGTGGCAGGGCCCCAAAGGGAGGTGGGGGCCACTGGGGTTCCAAGACAGGTAGGCACTGAGTTGGAGTCTCTCCCCACAGTCCCTGATTGTCCCTGGTAAGAGCCCCACAAGGAAGAAGTCTGGGCCATTTGGCTCTCGCCGCAGCAGCGCCATTGGCATCGAGAACATCCAGGAGGTGCAGGAGAAGAGGTGGGTGAGTGGGAGCCTGGCCCACCATGGCATCCAACATGTCTCCTACCCTGACCTGCAGGAGGACCAGCATCACGTTCACTCTGACCTTTAAGGGTGCCCAGTCTGCTGCTTCACCCTGACCTGCAGGGTCACCCAGGCCACTGGCCCACCCTGACCTGCAGGGTCACCCAGCCCACTGGCTCACCCTGACCCGTGCTTGCCCTCTTCCTCATCTCCTCCAGTGAGAGCTGTCACCTAGGAGGAAATGCCCCACCTGACATTCCGTGGTTCCACGGGTTCCCTGGGGCCAGCACCTTTCAGATCAAAAACAGCTTGCCCGGTTCATACAGCCAGCAAGGGTGGAGCATCCAGAGGGGCTGGCAGCATCCATGAACGCCTGTGGGCAAGGCTGAGCCCAGAGAGCAGACAAGAGGTCCTCAGCCTATTTCAGTTGGGCAGCCTTGTGCATGCCACTGCGATTTTCTGATACTCGTTACGGCAGCAAGAAACGTGAGACAGGAAAACAGCCAGCAACCTGGGGCTGTCGTGCAGGTCCCTTGTCACGAACACTATGTAGCGGCCAGTAGGGTCTCATGCCACCTAAACTCAAGCCCTGGTGTACCCAAGTCCTGGCTGGCATCCTTTAGGAGACCATCACATGCAGAGGAAGAGCCAGCTGGCCAAAAAGTCCGTCCCGTGCCCATGGCCACTCCTCACGGCCTGGCTCATTCTACCCCACTGCCAGGCTTGGTGCTGAGTCCCCCCGCTGCCCCCGTGTATCCCGCAGGGAGAGCCCTCCAGCTGGCCAGAAGACCCCAGACAGCGGACATGTCTCACAGGAGCCCAAGTCAGAGAACTCTTCCACCCAGAGCTCCCCGGAGATGCCCACGACCAAGAACAGGTGGGGTTTCGGGTACAGTGGGCTTAGGGGGGAAAGTCTCTCATTCTTTGTTTCCTGATGCCCCATTGAGTGCCTGTGCACGCTGTGCCCCCTCTGTACTAGGGAACATGGCTGCAAGCTGTGTGTACATGGGACCACAGAGCTGCTGGCCTGCATACCACACCTAACAAACCTATCTGCACAGAGAGCAGCTGGCCTGCATAACACACCTAACAAACCTATCTGCACAGAGAGCAGCTGGAGATAACCAGTGCGGACAGCAATGAGGTCTCCTTAGGGGTCTTCAGACAGAGAGCTGATGGACGGTTCTGGGGAGGAGCCAGCCAGTGCAAAGGCCCTGGGGCAGCCTAATGGCTGGAAAGGAGGGTCACAGGCATTTGGAGCAGACTCAGGGACCGGCCTATTGGGTGGTGACGGGGACAAGGCCAGAGGGGCAGGCGAAGACCTGCTCATAGTTTTGGAGGCTCTGTGAGAGCTTTGAGTTCTCTCTTAAATGGGATAAAAACCCGTGAAGAGAGCAATGTTTTAACCATGTTGTTGAGAGAAACTGGCAAGTGGGTAGAGGCAGGGAGACCTGAGGAGGCTGCTACTCTGTTGGACTGGTCCCTGTTGGGGTGGGGGTGGGCATCAAGAGGATTCACCATGTGCTGGAGAGTCGGACTGCTGAACAGAGACAGAAAAGTACGGCAGGGACAAAATTGGGTTGTGGAATTTTTGGACTAGGCGAGACTTTGGGCAGGAGACCCAAAGGCCCTGAGTGTGACGGTTCCAAATCCCTGTTCTGCCTGTAGCTGAGTGACCTGAGGCTGAGTGCCACCCTCCTTGTGTCTCCATGTCTATGAGATGGGTTCCCTAGTAACAGACCATCTCAGAGGACCAATGAATGTCTACTAGACTAAGCCATTAAGGGTCACAGTTACTGAGCACCAAGCCAAAGCGATCAGACTTTCCCTGGGGCAGCGAGGAGCCACGGGATGGCATTAAGTATGGAGGGACCCATCCAGATCCACGCAGTAGGGCTGGCTTCACTGGGAGTCCATGGAGGCTAAGATGCCAGAAGAGCTATAATTAATGATAGCCATGGCGTGCTTGGTTGGCTCCTGGTTGAGTGTCCTTGGGGAGAGCATGGGACAAGGGAGTGAGGTGCAGCGCCCATGGTGGCTGCTGGCTGACGGCACTGTGTGGCAGAGTGGACACGGCTGCCCAGAGAGCGGAAGCGCTGCAAGGCTTCTCCAGGTCCTCATCCAGTGCTAGCAGCTTCGCCAGCGTGGTGGAGGAGACGGAAGGCGTCGACGGGGATGACACAGGCCTGGTGAGATGCCCGAAGGGTTGGGGCCCTGCAGGGGCGGGTAGGAGCCTCTTAGGCCTCTGGAGGTGCTTCGGGTAGAGGAGTAAGCCTGGCAGTGGCGGAGGTGTGGGGGGTGTTGTCCCAACTCGTAAGAGATGCAGACAAATCTTAGCCTTCCATGGCTCCTCAGTGCTGTCCACAGACCCCTGAGGACCCAGGCGCGCCTTATGCCCTGGTCTCATCTCTTACTTCTTCAGACACCCGAGCTCCTCTGCAGTCCCTAACTGTCACGGGCTGACCCCACCCTCAGGCCTTTGCACCCCCTGCTGTCATCTTCCTACCTTCTCGGTCCCCCTTGGCCAGGCCAACGCACACCCTCCCTGTGCTCTGGGCTCCCCATCAGCACCTCGCCGTTTTTCATCAAACATACTCCTGCTGGGTACCCGCTACCAGCCTGGCCTGTACTGTAGCAGCACAGGCCCCGCCCACTGGCCTGTTGGCTTCTGAGATCAAGCTCCCTGGGGTCAGGGACTGGGTCTGTTCTACCCCCGAAACCAGGACCAGGAGAACATACGCAGATGTGTGTTGAGTGAACGGGGGGGGGGACTGTGGGCGGGGCTGACCTCCCCCCCCTCCCCAGGAAAGCGTGTCGTCCTCAGGAACTCCCCATAAGCGGGACTCCTTCCTCTACAGCACATGGCTGGACGACAGTGTGAGCACCACAAGCGGGGGCAGCTCCCCAGGTACCAGGATAGCTGTGCTGGTGGGAGCGGGCAGGGCACAGAGGGCGGGGACTTGTCCCTTACTCCGTAGCGTGGGGGTGTGATGTGACAGCCTCCTGTGTGAGGCAATGGTTCAGGGTAGGTGGCTTGGTCTCACAGGATAATAAAGGGTAGCTGGGAGGTGAGTTAAGAGTGAGGGACCCTTAAAGGGGGGACTTGGCAGGGTTGGGGAACCCCAGTACCAATCACCCATCCATGCCTGCATCTCCTTGGTGCCTCCTCTTGGCCAGTGAGGTGGCTCCCTCCTGCCCCCTTTCCCAGGCCTCACGCGATCACCCCACCCAGACGCCGGCAAGTTGGGGGACCCTGCGTGTCCCGAGATCAAGATCCAACTGGAAACATCTGAGCAGCACACACCCCAGATGGTATGAGGGACCCCTCCTGGGAGAGGGTAGAGCTGGTTGGGGGCAGGGACCCAGGGAGCAGGGGGACCCCGACAGTTGGGATGCTCCTTTAGGCCAGGAGGACTTGGGCTCATCCAATGACTTCTGGTTCCCTGTGTCTCCTGCCCCTACCTCTGGCTCTATCTGTCCCCACAGGGCTGCTAGCTGCCACCTCATCAGAAGGCGTGACTGAGCAGGTCAGCCAGTACTTACCTGATCCTGTGGGTGGAGGAGGGGAGTCTCAGGCCTTGGTGGCTGGGGACCTGGTCCAGTCTTAGTGCCTCTTGGCCTCAGTTTACCTGTATATGCAGTGGGGCTCATAGTGTTGCCTCACCTCTGTGAGTTCTTGGGGAGCTTGATGGAGTCAAAGGGACTGGGTGGTCACGGACCATGGGGAAGGCTGGGCATGCCCGTGGGGTGGAAAGAGCCCAGGCTGGCCTTCCCAGGCTATCGTCCTCTTCCTCTGAGTTTCTTGTCTCCCTTTCCCTGCAGACGAGGCCTCAGAAGCACAAGGAGAAGATGCTGCACCACATCCAGGCAGCTGGCCCTCTGCCCAACAGCCACCCAGCCCCTGGTACCCCTGCCTCCAACCCCCCTGGCCCACCCATCTGGTCTGTCTCTGCAGGGCGGAGCCATCCAGAGCTGGGAGTGAATGCTGCTGGCATCACCCCCACCCCAGACTGGGGCTCTGGGTATGGGCAGGGACTGTGGCCCTGGATGGCCCCCACCTGGGCCTCTGTCCCCTGGGTTCCCCTCTGGAGTCATGGGGAACAGAATGGGAAGAGAAGGGACACTGCGTGCACACACTCCACCGCAGAAGCAGAAGGTACAAGTATGCAGAGTGAGCACTGAGCAGGGAGTCCTACGGGGCTTCTGCTGTGGGACCTTGGGCAAGGCACTCTCCTTCCTGAGGCATCTTTGCTGCAAGCGGACAAGACTGTGTCAGAGGTCACTGAAGACTGATTCCAGGCACCTGCCCCAGAGGAGGGCCATTGTCCCCCCCCCCCCGGGGCCTCCCATCACACTGCTTCCCGAGGCCCCAGGCGGGCTAAGGGGCTGGGGCTGTTGTACCTGTCACCCTACCTGAGCCCCCAGCTTTACCACAGACCTGCCAATGTCCCTTCACTGCCTTCACACGATGGCCGAGTGTCCCCTGTTGGGGAAATGGTCCTCCCCGGCTCCTCATCCAGCACCCGGCTTAACCCTACCACCCCACGCTCCCGGGCGTTCCGGGCTGAGGGGTCTCAGCTGGTCTGGAGTCCAGGCCATCCCCTGCCCACCACTGCTGTGGAGGGGGCTGCCAGACATAGCTGCCGTGAGCCATGTCCTTGTGTGTATCTGTCCACTCTTAGGAGCCATGCCCAAGTCGAGACTTCCAGCCCCAACACCCACTTTGGAAGCCCTGTGGCTACATGTATGTCAGTAAGGGTTGTACAAAATAAATTCTATTTATCGCTATTGTACTGAGCGTTGAGCCTGGCTTTGTGTAAACCCTGTCTAGACACACTCCAAAGGGTGGAGCAAATGAGTCTGGGGGTGCCTCCAAGGCCAGGAGGCCGCAGTGTCTGTGAACCCCAGCCCAGGCCTCCTCCCCATGGTCCCACTGTTCCTCCCACCTTGAGGCCTTCCCCATGGAGAAGTGTGGCTCTGGAGTCAGCCCTGGCGCCGTCTCTCTCTGACTTGGTGATGAGGAAGTCAGTCTCTGCTTACAGGAGCAGGGCAAGCCTGTGACCTCCTCAGGGTATCTGTGAGCATCCAGTGAGCTGGTGTACATAGACACCAGACATAGTGGCCAGAGCACATAGTGGCCAGAGCTCAACTAGCAGTTACTCCTTTCGAGGCTCATGTCCCACAAACCCCAAGGGGTTTCTCTTGTGTGGCCACCAGGGGGCACCAAAGGATCACCAGTCTCTGCCTGGGGCACTCATAGTGTAGAACCACAGGCTAAATGGGGTGAGCAGAAGGATGGAGGAGGAAGCAGTCTCTGGGAGAGGGACCTGCATTTGTAGAAGAGGGTGGAGAGCACCTCAAATTGGGAGGGGTCCAAAGTCAGGACCATCCTAGAGGGGACAAGGACTAGGGTGAGGCCAGAGAGCACATGGTCTTGAATGTCAAGCCCAGGATGGCAATGGAGAGACACTTAGAGCTGTGGTGGCTGCTAATGATGGAGTCTGAGTGGACCCGGCTGGCTGGAGGAGTCATAGAGGATGGATTTCTTCAGGGACAGAGCTACAGGGGATTCATGGGTGGGACATTGGACTTGAGCATGCTACCTAATTGAGCCCAGAAGGAGCAGCCATGTTTAACTTCTCTAGAAGCTTGGTACCTCTACCTGGTTCTCACCTTCCCAGGAAGATGCTGGGGACATTGGGAAACTGTTGGGGAAGTCCTGTTATTTGCCTGTTATTTGTCAATAAAGTACTGTTGAGTCTATAGGAATCTAGATAGGTGGGGCTAGGAGTCCAGGAGGATTCTGGGAAGGAGAAACAGAAAGAGTCAACATGTAACGCCATGGGGGTAGGAAGCCTGGAACTATTCTCCGGTAAGAAACATACTTAGATTAACAATTATGGGGTAATTACTTAAGTCAGAGCTAGCTAGTAAGAAACAAGCAAGGCCAACAGCTTCATAATTAATATAGCCTCCTGTGTGTTTATTTGGGGACTACAATGTGGCAGAGCCCAGGCGACTGGCGGGTGATAAACCAAAGCGGCTAGCAAAGAAAAAGCTTCTCTTAACAGGAAACTCTCTGAGATATACCATGCCTGCCTGCCCTCTCTCCTTCCCTCCCCTCCCTCCATCCCTTCCTTCCTTTTTTTTTCTCTTTTTTTTTTCAGTTTTTGAGACAGGGTTTCTCTGTAGCTTTGGAGCCTGGCCTGGAACCAGATCTGTAGACCAGGCTGGCCTCGAACTCACAGAGATCCGCCTGCCTCTACCTCCTGAGTGCTGGGATTAAAGGCGTGCGCCACCACTGCTGGGTTTACCATGCCTTTCTTGACAGGGCCCTTCTATGACCCTCAGGCCACCCAGGGACCATGACTCACACCGAAACTCCAGCCTTGACCAGCAGGACTTGGCTCCAAGCTGCCCTTTGGTGGTTCCCCCTCCTAGGTCACCCCATCTCCCACCAGCCCAGCTCTACAGTGCCTTCTGCCCCAGCCTAAGGCCCACAATCATGACATCCTGCATAGAGCTTCCTGGGCACAGGCTCTGAATTCATTCTCCTGGTGATCTTGGCTCTCTAGTCCTCACTCCATTCCGTCTTCTGTGGTCCCTAGTATGAGGCTCAGTGAATGAGGCCTCACCACGATGGTCTTGGTGCAACTAGAGCCATAGGGCTCAGACAATAGTGTGGGGGGGGGGAGTTGCAGGCAGGAGCAGAGCTGATTGAGCCTTTGAACAAAGGGAACTGTGGACATTTTTATTGCTAAGCCTTCTGAGAGCACAGTCCACCTCTGTGTCCAGAGGACATCATCCCAGGGGCTGGCTCCAAACAGAAGTGTAGTTGGGAACCTTTGGGATGCTTCCCCAAGCTCAGCACCACAGGCGTTTGGCCTGAGCATCCCTTCATGGGGCTTCACTCATCTGTATGCCCACTCCTCCAATGTATCCCAGAGCTGATGGAGCAGTGGAGCTCTGGAACAAAATCAGGTGAATAGTCTGACCAGCCTCTCCCACCCTGCCTGTCTGCATCAGTCTTGCTACAGGAAGAAGGCTCCAGGCCACAGAGAGTGGCCCAAGCCGTTTCTCTCAAGCTCCAAGGTGGGGCTCAGGGAGGCTGAGGATGCTTCTGGACTCTGGGATCAAAGTGGACAGTGCTGTTTCTCTTGTCCCCGTGCCAGTTCTGTGCCTGCCCTGGGTTCTGAGGTGGGGAGGGCAAGCCAGGACACAACCCGAGGTTGGAATTAGGGCTAGGGCGGGGGGCACCAACTCCGGGAAGCAACAGGCTATGTTAGAAATAACCCTGCTGCTGGAAACAGAAGCTCTTGCCCAGGAGACAGTGGGAGCACCTCAAACTCCTGGCAACCCCAGCTCCCTGTGGGCAAGACTCTCCAAGTGTCACCTTGACACAGGACGAACCTATGGTCACAAACGCTTTTATGCTTCTAAGGAGCCATGCATGAAGCCTGATGCAGAACCCATGCCCAAAATGAGGGTCCTCCCATACCCTCACCACCACAGCAAGGGTGCCCCTGGACATCTATGGCCAACTCCAGGACAATGATATCAACGTAGCTGTAGGCCCAGGCTAGTTCAGTACCAGGGGACCAGGACCTGGACGCACCCTGCTTCTCACGCTGCAGGGGGCTGCTCAGCCAGGGACCTTGGAATATAGAGGTCTGCCCTCCCTCCCTAAGTCTGACCTATTGAGAGGACAGTCCAGGATGGGGCCTCTTGAAATAACCAGATATGGTTAGCGAAGCTAATTTTAAAAGCCACTCTGGCTGCCCCATGGGCCCTTCTGGGAAGCTGTGAATGTTCCTATGTGTGCCCTTGGGAGGGGCTCCTACTGGACCCCACGTGGCTTCCTAAGGCCCGTGAGCCCAGGCCTGATGCTGGGCTTCAGAAACCGAGGCTCCCCTCTGCCACAGTGCAGACACTCCCCCACTGTGGCTCAGCACCTTCAGCTTTCTCTCTTGGTCCCTAGACCGTCCTCATCCCATCCATGTCTTCTGCTTCTAGTTCTAATGCCTCTGTCACTGTGTCCCCTTTGTTCCTGATCCTCTAGTCTGTTCTCTGTGACTGGGACTCCATCCATCTGCAGGCCTATCCCCCAGAAGACTGGACGCAGCACACCAGACAGCCCATAGCCTTTGTGAGGCTGGTGGAGATGGGTATCCACCTGGAATCGAGGGCAGGAGTCCTAGGGCTGACAAGAACTAGGTCCGGCATGCAGGGGCCAAGTCCAGGCACGACCTGGACCATCTGGCCAGGCCAGGTGCCAGCTGGGGGAATGAGCTTCAGGGCAAGGGTTGGCAGGCAGCAAACAGAAACATGAGGTACCCAGTTAAATTTGAATGTCAGGTAAACACAGACTCATTTTTAGCTTAAGTATACCTCATACAATATTTGGGACATACTTATAGCAAAAAAAAAAGATTCCTGTTTACCTGACATTCACATTGAACTATGTGCCCTATGTTTTATCTGGCAGTCTTGTCTTGGTGGCCCTAGGAGTGAGGGGAGGCCTCTCAGGGACAGGGACAGCCAGTTCCACAGGCTGGTTTAAGGGTAGAGGCATGGTTCCTGCCCAAAGGGGCGAGGAACTCCATTCTAAAATGGGGAGAGTCCTTGGGGAACATGGTGAGGGGGAATACGCCATCCAAGCTCAGACCTGGTAGCAGAAGAGAGGGTCACGTGTCCTCTACTGAGCCCCAGGAACAGGCACACAGTGGGACCTTCCCGTAGAGTGTGGGATGTGGGGCATGTGGCCAGAAGAGGGCTCTAGCACCCTGCTCCTAAGTGCCTGGGAGCCAATGCATGGTGCACTGACTCCGGCCGCAGGCTCGCCAAAGGCAGCTGCAGCACAGAGAGAGAGAGAGAATCGTGTCGGGGGCTCCTCTTCCCCTAGCCCACTCTGTCCCAGGCCAGTATTGGAGCTCAGCTTAGACCCGAGGTTCTGTTCTATGCTCTCTAGGGGGCATCTGAGGCGTGGGATACATAAGACCCAGAGCACTGGAGATTCTTGATCCTGGGGGATGAGTCTTCAAACATAACCCCATCGTTCATTCATCTCAGGAGTCTACCTGGAGGAGGAAACTGCGGGAAAGTCTGTGTCCCTCTTATCCCTCTCAAGACAGAGCCCCTTAAATTGCTTATCCACCCATTTATCCACCCACCTATCCATTCACCCTTCTATCCATCTATAAGCTCACTGGCTCATCCATCCATCCATCCATCCATCCATCCTTCCATCCATCCTTCCACTGTCCATTCCTCTACCCACACATCTCCCCACATATCCACACATCCACCCACCCAGATACCTATGTATCCACATACTCACCTATGTACCTCCATGTCCATGCCTCCACCCATCTATCCATTCACCCACCTACACATCCGTCCGTCCATCCACCCATCATGTGTCTATCTACTTATACACCTATCTATCTACACATCCAGCCTTCCACCCACCCATACGTTTACCCATCTACTTATCCATCATCTAGCCATCCCTCCCTCCATCAACCCACCTGTCTATCCATCTACACACACACACACACACACACACACACACACACACACATTTATGCACATGTAGCCCTGTACCCCTACCTACTATTCATCCACTTAAACACCCATCGACCCACCCACTCATCTACATCTCTCCATCTTAACCATTTATCTACCACCCACCTCTCTACCCACTCATCCGTCCATTCACCTATCCACCTACCTGCCTATCCATCCATTCACCTATCCACCTACCTGCCTATCCATTTATTCATCTATCCATCCA